ACCGTACGCATCCTGCCACCCCCAACCCCCAACCCCCACCCCCACCCACCCACACTTCCAACCCCTACCCCCACCCCCCACGCACCCCGCCCCTCACTGAACCCATGACTCCTGGCCCGTGGCTTTTCAGCTGACTTTAAAGGGCCCCAGTGCATGGCGGGGCCCTCCGCCCGCTCCGCCCTCCGCCCTTCCAGCTCCGCCCACTCTCCTCTGGCCCATGCTCCCACTCTCCATCCCCTTGACCTACCCCTCATGGACCCAGCTCCCTACCCCTTACCCCTCACACCCCTCACGCACCCTGCCCCGCCGCCCATGCCCCTCATGGACCCATGGGTTCTGGCCCCACGGCTCCCCTCCGCCCTTACCCCCACCACCCACGCACCCGCTCCCCGCCCGTGCTTGTCATGGGCCCCTTGCTCCTGGCGTCCTGGCTCCACCCCCACCCCCAACCCCCACCCCCAACACCCCACCCTTTCCACACTTCCAACCCCCACTCCCACCACCCACGCACCCCGCCCCCCCACTGGACCCATGGCTCCTGGCCCCATTGGTGTTGGTCACATTCTTCATCCCTCGGCCTGCATGGCTGCCAACGCTGGTCCTATACCGTACGCATCCTGCCACCCCCAACCCCCAACCCCCACCCCCACCCACCCACACTTCCAACCCCTACCCCCACCCCCCACGCACCCCGCCCCCCACTGAACCCATGGCTCCTGGCCCGTGGCTTTTCAGCTGACTTTAAAGGGCCCCAGTGCATGCCGGGGCCCTCGCCCGCTCCGCCCTCCGCCCTTCCAGCTCCGCCCACTCTCTTCTGGCCCATGCTCCCACTCTCCATCCCCTTGACCTACCCCTCATGGACCCAGCTCCCTACCCCTTACCCCTCACACCCCTCACGCACCCTGCCCCGCCGCCCATGCCCCTCATGGACCCATGGGTTCTGGCCCCACGGCTCCCCTCCGCCCTTACCCCCACCGCCCACGCACCCGCTCCCCGCCCATCCGCCCTTCCCGCTCCGCATACATTCCCCTTGCCCAAGCCCCCCACACACCCCGCCATGCTTTTCATGGACCCATGGCTCCTGGTCCTGTTCTTCATCCCTTGAGCTGCTCCACCCCCACCCGCAACCCCCACCCCCACCCCGAACGCACCCTGCCCCGCCGCCCGTGCTTGTCATGGGCCCCTTGCTCCTGGCGTCATGGCTCCACCCCCACCCCCAACCC